TTTCACTTTTTATCTCTAATCATTTATAGATTGAACCCTATACAGTGAGCATTTTAAAAAATGAAAGAAATTGAAAGCAAGACATCCTAATATGGCTAATATCAATGCTGCCATTTTTGGCCTTATACTTTGCTGCATTTTGGAAATTCTGTAGTTTTTCAGGTTCTAAAAGCTGAAAGAAAACCGGTTATGAAAATTCTTGCATAACCCAAATTATAAATAAAGAGCAAAATAAAAGATAGATAATAGGAAGTAGAGAGATCTTTCTCAAATGGGAAGGGGATCAAGAGATGGAGGGAGAGGAAAGAGGAGAGAAAGGGTTGGAAAAAGGAATTAAGATGTGTTAATGTTCTAATGACAGAGTTAACCTATGGAAAGTCGACATCCAGTTTGTTTTACCATAGTAGAAATGCTAATTTAAATGTTAACAAAGATTCAAAAAAGAAAGAAGGCAATGGAGTAAAGAGGGATAATTTATTTATTTTTTTATTTTTTTTTGATATCAGGGATCGAACTCGGGTCCTTGCACTTGCACAGCAGCCAGTGAAACCACTGAGCTAAATCCCCGGCCCAAGAGGAATAATTTAAAATAAAAATTATTATTTCTTTTTTAGTAGTATGTGTCTTAGTTACTTTTCTCATTGCTGAGACAAAATACCTGACACTCAAAGTTAAAAAAAGGAAAGGTTTACTATAGCTCACAGTTGTAGCAGTTTCAGTCCATAGTCAGCTGACTCCAAGGCAGGGTGACATCACAGAGGTAATCACAGAGGAGAAACCGTTCACGGCAAGCAGGCAAGAGACAGCGAAGCAGCAAGCAGCGAAACAGGAGAAGCAGCAGGGTCAAGCCTGTCTCTCCCTTTTATTCCATCCAGTCTATAAAGCTTGATTGGTGCTGCACATACCCAGGGTGGAGAACTCTTAATCCCAGCATCACACCCTTAATCCACATTCACATAACCTAATCTAGCCATCTTCAAAACTCCCCACCTATAATCACATGAGGCTTTGAGGGGACATCTAGATAAAACCCATAACAGTATTTTAAAGCTCTGAATGTGTCTCCTATCTTCTAGTCAGTGTAACTAATATTTTTGTTTCTTTATTCTCTCTCTCTTCAGGGTTGGTAAAATTTCAGCCTTCCCTTTGGCCCTGGGACTCTGTGAGGAACAATTTAAGAAGTGCCTTGACAGAGATGTGTGTCCTCTATGATGTTCTCAGTATTGTTAGGGATAAAAAGTTTATGACACTGGATCCTGTCTCTCAGGATGCACTTCCTCCAAAACAGGTATTCATGAACTTTAATCATAGTTTTTTATTAAGTCCCATCTTTTGGTTGTGCATCTGTTGTTCCCTTTTCCTTTCTTACAAAAAGAAGTCCAGATGAAGTTATAAAAGCTAACTGATCCAAAGCAAAGGCACAAAACTATCTCCGTTGTCTTTCTGTGACCTTTGGAAGAGTTATGATTCATTAATAATATATGACTTTAAAAGTTCCCAAATCTTAATAAATTCTTACACACTGAATCACATTTCACAAAAACGGAATGATGCACTGGCTTTGGGGTTACATGAGCTGGGTTCAAATCCTGCCTCTGCCCTTACTAGCTGTGTGGCCATAAGTAAATTATTCTCTCTGAATCTCAGTTCTTCCCTTCAAATCCCCACTACCATTTTGGTAGGGACCGGTTTAGTTAGGTCAAATTATGAAACATACTGAAAGATGGTAGAATTGTTGATATATAGTTCAGTATTTGACGATGAAAGAAAAGCAGCAGAACGAATTGGAGAACAAAGAGTCTGAAGTCAAGGGAATTACTTAGGAGGTCCTTAGGACAACAAGTACCAAATGAGTCATGGAGAGGATGCAATGATTAGAACCCATTTGTAAATAAAATGAATGAATATAATTATCATATAGTACTGTTTTTGGAGTCAAGGAACACTATGCAAAGATGTCATAGAATTCATTAAATCTACTTCCTTCATTTTGCAGAGAAGAAACTAAAGCTTATAGAGATTTGTGATCGCCTCAGGTTACAGTCAAGCCAGTACTTAGAGGGCCAAGACTAGAATTTAGGCACTCACAGCATATCACCTTTTCCGCCATTCTCTCCTTTTTTTTTTTAGAAAGCAGTCTCCAAGGATTTAAGATCTCCCAAGATTTTTTTTTTTCTGGCGGTACCGGGGATCGAACTCGGGACCTTGTGCTTCTGAGGCAGCTGTGGTGCCACTGAGCTAGTTCCCTGGCCCCAAGATCTCCAAGAATTTTTAATTAGGTTTCCTAATACATTCAAAAGATAATTGTGGAATTTCTATGAAGCTTTTTATGGTCTTTTGTCTCTTACGTAGCCAGGAAGCCTCCTTTTATCAGACTTGGTTTTTCAGAAGTGTATCTATTTAATAACATACAAGTTAGTGATGATTGTGAATATATACACTTTTATGCACTACATAGATTTTTATTTGTGATGAGTTTCAAAAATCAGTATTCAGTGAAGCATACTTAATGCTGCATAATTTCAGCCTTAATTTCAAAAGTATTTCACTAAGTTGTAACATAAGATAATCTTATACTCATTGAAATCATTTATTTATTGAGTAAACATTATGTTCCAGGCGTTGTTGTAGTGTCTGTGTGTGCAGAGGTTTCTGCCATCACATAAGTTACATTCATACAGGGAATAGAGACTTTAGTCAGAAGAATAAGTGCTACAAAAAGGTATACATAGTGTTGGGGTGGGGGTTACAGCACATAAAGAGAGGAATGGCAGTGCTTAAGAGGGGATCCTAAACCAACTAGAGTTGGTGCAGTGGGAAGATCTTATTTCTAGGCCATTGTGTTTTTGGTTTAACAGAAATCTGTGTGACTTGACCAAAGAAATAAGTTAAGGTTGATTATGTATTTATGGCAGCGTTAGGGATAAGGTTGTTTTTCAAAAGCATTGTTATGTATACTTCACCCTCTTTAATTCCTAAATTTTCCCTTGACTGTTTTGTTATTGAGAAAATGTGTGGTCTTAAATTCATCTAAAAATAATAGAGAACTCCTTTTTTGATGGTTTCTGATAGAATCCTCAGACATTGCAGCTGATATCTAAAAAGAAGTCACTTGCTGGGGCAGCACAAATCCTGCTGAAGGGGGCAGAAAGACTGACTAAATCAGTTACTGAAAATCAAGAAAACAAGTTACAAAGAGACTTCAATTCTGAGCTTTTGAGATTAAGGCAACACTGGAAACTTAGAAAAGTTGGAGATAAAATTCTTGGCGATCTGAGCTACAGAAGTGCAGGTATAGATAATTGTTAAAAGCTATACTTTTCTGTAAGTATGTTCAGGTAATTGTAATATTGTACATACTTCCATACTGTGTTTCTTGGCTACTTTTTTTTTTGAGACAGGGTATTCCTGTGTAGCTCAGACTGGCCTTGAACTCACGATGTATCCCAGTCTGGCCGCCAGCTTGCAGCAATCCTCCTGCCTCATCCTCCCAAGTGCTGGAATTCCAGGCTTACACCACCACACCCGGCATACTTCTTACATTATCAAAATTTTATTTTTGTACACGAAAACCAAAACCATTCTTTATCACAACCCTATAATAAATAGCCTAGTTTTAATTTTAAAACCTTTTAGGTACATGTAACAGAAACTTCAGAGATCAAGTTGGTAAGTTTCGCAGCTCAGTGAGTTTAGAGCTTTGAATGCCAAGAGATGAGACAGAGTCCTGGCTGGAAAAGTTGAGATAATAATACTAGACTGGTATCTAAAAAGATTCATTTGCCAGAGCAAGCCGTCAGTATCCTAAACTTAAAAGAGGGTACTTTGAGGTGTTTAAATTAAATACTGGGGAATCTAAATGCCTCAGAATTGATGTGAATTGGGAAGTTTTGAATTCTGCAGATAAAATCAAATTGCAAAGATAAATTCAAGAGAATGAAGCCATTTTTACATTTAAAATGGGATTTGAGGAAGCAAGGCTTTCTGATTTTAGACATTTTAAGTTCTTTCCTACAAATAATTATGTGCAAATACTTTACTTAATTTCTCTGTGGGATGATCACTCATGATTAGGAAAGGATTCAGGTTTTTTTTGGTACCGGGGATAAAACTCAGGACTTTGTGCTTGCCAGGCAGGTGCAGTGCCACTGAGTTACATCCCCAGCTCAGGATTCAGTTTTTAACTATAAGAAGATCTTGAATATTTTCCCTTGTTATAAAAAAGCAGTTACACTTAACTACCCATTTCCCATAACAAACTGACCCAAACTTCTGACCTGTACAAAAACACATCACGTAAAGGCCAGGGATTTAGCTTAGTGGAGCTGCTGCCTGCCTCGCACACGCAAGGTCCTGAGTTCAATCCCCTGTACCAAAAAAAAAAAAAAAAATCACCTAAGTCTAGAAACTAATTGAATAAGGAATATTGTACGCACTTGTTTTTGTCTTTCTGTTGCTGGATTTCGAATACCTCAGTTATGTGCTGTTACAGAGGCTGAGTTCTACAATTCACGGCTAAGGCTTGAGTCTGAGGAATTATTTTCTAGAATCACACTCATGTTTATCAAAACTCCAGTTAGAATACAACTTGGATGGCCCACAGAGTTTACATTATTATTATACCAGTAGACTAAGGGGTGTTCACTTTTTTTAAGATATTAACTTCTTTCCCTGCTTCCTTTTTCCCCTTGCTCACCACTCTTCATACCCCTTTCCCAATGTGCAGTTTATATTCAGTGATGTGGATGTGAAGTATTATATACTTAGTAGTGTATGTTAATACATTAATTTTTTATTTTCTTTTATTTAATACCCCATTAGGATCTCTCTTTCCTCATCATGGTACATTTGAAGTAATAAAAAACACAGATATCGATCTGGATAAGAAGATACCAGAAGATTACTGCCCTCTTGATGTCCAGATTCCTAGTGATTTAGAAGGGTCTGCATATATAAAGGTATTTATCGAAGTATTTATAAAATAATTTCTTATTAATCACCCAAAGCTAATTTGCTAACTTTTTAAAAATGTTTTTATATTCATACAGGTGTCCATTCAAAAACAGGCTCCAGACATAGGTGATCTTGGCACAGTTAACCTCTTCAAACGACCTTTGCCCAAATCCAAACCAGGTATAGTTATGTTCTGTCCCCTAAATTTGGTCTTAACTTACATTTGCCAATAAATTAAAGATAAATATACATGGGAAAAAATAGATGCTTTAGAGTAAGAGTAATGGAAATAGTATTCTTGTTTTTGCTTTTTTTTTGGTACTGGGGCTCGAACTCAGGACTTTGTGCTTGCGAGGCAGGCATCAGAACCACTGAGCTAAATCCCCAGCCCCTCAGTACTCTTGTTTTTTGAGACAGGATCTCACTATGTAGTTCAGGCTGGCCTTGAACCCATTATGTAGCCCAGGCTGCCCTTGAACTCATGGTAATCCTCCTGCCCCAGCCTTCCAAGTGCTGGGATTACAGACATGTGCCGCCATGCCTGGCGGAAGTAATATTTTTATAGTATAAAATAAACCACTAGTAAAAAGCTGTGCAAATTTTTTTTAGACTGAGCTTATTTAGTATATTTCTCCATGTAAATGAAGTGAGGTTTTCATATCTTAGGAAAAATATGCGGTAATACAGTGGTTTCTGAATGTATGTCTTATAGTCACCATTTAAGGTGGTTAATACATAATATGCTTAGATAATTGCATATATGTATATACCTCTTGTCTTTCAGGTTCCCCACATTGGCAGACAAAATTAGAAGCAGCACAAAATGTTCTCTTGTGTAAAGAAATTTTTGCACAGCTCTCTCGGGAAGCTGTTCAAATTAAATCACAGATCCCTCATATTGTGGTGAAAAACCAGATTATCTCTCAGCCCTTTCCAAGTAAGAGCAACCAACCCTTTGAGAGTATAAATGAGACTTTGTGGTGTGGAGAAACAGAACAAGAGAGTAGCTATTTGAATGTGTGGAAGAATTTAAAGAGCAAAGAGGTGGTAGGCTATTCATAATGGCAACTGGTAAAGCATGTCACAGAAGCTATGCTGCTAGTTCTATTCTGAATCCCAAATAGTATAACTTTTGGATTTTAAAACAATGCATGTTAAAAATTTATACTAGGTATGGCTACTTTTCATTATAATTGCTTTGAAGGGAAGATTTTTCGGGGATCCTGCCTTAAGTAATTTTAAAAATGTTTATTCATAATATTTCTAGATTTGTTGAAACTGGACTTTTCTTAGTCAAAAGCAATTAGACTTACCATGGACATCAGTTTTTAGATAGCTGTGCCTTTTTTTGAGATGGTCTCATTATGTAGTCCATGCGGCCTTGAACCTGCCTCAGCCTCCTGAGTGCTGGGATTATAAGCACCACACCTGGTTTCTTCTTTTGCAGTTCCAGGGATTAAACCCAGGGCCTTCACACTGAGCTACATCTCCAGTCCTTTTTATTTTTTTATTCTTAAACCAGAGTCTCAGTGAGTTGTGCAGGCTGAGGTCAAACTTTCCATCCTCCTGCCTCTGCCTCCCAAAGTGCTCAGATTACAGGCATGGATCACCAGCCTAGCTAATGTACTTTTCTTTTTTTAAATACATTTTTAGAACTTTCTGCTTAGGTTTTATGAAGGGAACAGGAACAGGGAAGGATATCTTTCTTCTACATGATAAGACCAGCCTGAATTACAGAGCAAGACCTTTTCTAAAAAGAAAAAGAAAAGAGAAAAAGAATCAATAGCAACAAAAAAACTAGGTGCTACATGGTAAGACTAAATATAAATTTCATATTTAAAAAATTAAAATGTACCTTCTGTTCATCAGTCTTCAGCCAGAGCTCAAGGTCAGCAGCTATATTTTATGTCAACAGAATTTTAATTGTTAAAGTACATGGACATTTATTATATTCATGAATGGTTGTTTTGTTATAAAAACATTAATGATGATGCCTGATTTTCAAGTTTAGAATGTCTTTTGAGAATTATCTGAGATTATATTTCATGAAGATAGTTTGTGCCAGTCTGTATTTTACGTTATTTGCCTCTGTCCTTCTTTTTACAAATAGATTTGCAGTTATCTATTTCTTTGTGCCATTCTTCAAATGATAAAAAATCCCAAAAATCTGCTACTGAGAAACAAAGTCCAGAAGACCACCTCTATGTCCTAGAGCATAATTTACATCTACTGATTAGAGAGGTAATGAAATAAATCTTGTGGGTTTTGGGGTTTTTTCCCCTTTTTTGCATTGTGATAAGCTTATACAGGGCAGTGAATATGCACAACCTCCCTCCTGTGGCTTGATTATTCATGTAGCAATAACATTTACTACCTTATCTGAAAACCCTTACAGTGTGCTGGGGAAAACAAATAATTAGAATACAGTCCCTGTTCCCAAACATTCTGTCTAGTGGTAGAAATGTGCTAGTCTCAAAATAGTAAAGGTCTAAGAAACATATGCTAAAGGATATAGAGGGAAAGGTGATTCTGATTGGGAGAAAATGTCTTGCCCTAGGAGTGACATGAGGTAAAAATATGTCTTGCTATAGCTGTGAACAGAAAGGTTGAGGTACTTCAGGACATATTCTATTTCTAAGTCATTGAAGCTGTGTTTACAGAGTGTAGATTCACAGTTTAGGTTAAGTTCAGAAGAGACTTGGTTCAGTTGATTGTGATAGTATGAAAGCCATTGTTATTAAAAATCTCTTTAGAGGGTTCTGATAGGCAGTCAGGTTTTTGAACCTCGAATCTGGTATATAGTGGAATAACTGTCTACTGATAGTATGTGTTCTCTTGATGAGACTCAATGAAGAATATCTTTTGTATTTAAAACTAAAAATTACAGCTTCATAGGGACCATTCTCTGTAAATTTGCATTATGCATGATTTAGTGAATGCTAATACTTACCTCTGTGTCAAGATTGCTTTTATATGTAGTTCAAATCCATTGCTTTCAGTGTTTCCAAAATGTAAGCAGTGCTGTGATTAAATATCCCATATTATTTCTACATAAGTATAGGTCATTTAAAATAGTTTCTTTTTGGATCAACTGGAAAAAAAAGCATGACTTTTGAAATCTCTGAATGGCTTGGTTCTCAGTATTATTCTTTTTGAATTTATTTCTTACTAATGTAGTTTTTAAGACTTTTTTTCTGAAGTGTTATGTAATTTTTTAGCATGGGTAGATGGGAGTGTCACTTGTATGTTATCGTACAGCTGACATGTACTTTTTATCTATTTATTACCATAGTAGTTTCATGCTGTGTATGTACCATAACCAAGCTATTGCCTATGAGAAACATGTAAGATAATGTATTTATAGCCATTGTTACAAGTTATAATGTATTTTTCTATCTTTTTTTATATGTATGTTATATAACAGTCAAAAATAATTTTTTTTTTCTTGATTGAGAAAAGGATACAAAATGCAAAATCCACGGTTTTGATAACTGGAAATAGCCAATTGTTTTGCAGTACTTTATTATACTGGGTGTCTTGTCTTTTGGGGGCTTTTAGTTAGCTAATGAATGAATACATTAGACAGTTTTGTGTTTTAGTTGGGATTTTACATAGCTTGCATTTTAATTCTTTGGTTCTTTGCTGTTTCTATTAACCCATAGCATTATTTTAATAAATGTTATAATACCAAGAATAAGTAAATAAATAAAAAATAAAAATAAAATAGTTGTTTTTGTTAGTTTCATAAACAGACCTTGAGTTCTATCATGATGCCACATCCAGCAAGTGCACCTTTTGGCCACAAGAGAATGAGACTTTCAGGTCCTCAAGCTTTTGATAAAAATGAAATCAACTCATTACAATCCAGTGAAGGGCTTCTGGAAAAGATAATTAAACAAGCAAAGCATATTTTCCTGAGGAATAGGTAAGGATAAAGAAAGTTGCTATTTTTCTTTGAAATTGAAGGGTTTTTTTTTTTCCTGTATTGTTTCATGTATGTTATTTTAACCTTTTTTTCCAAAGAAAAGAAGATGGCTACAGTATAAGTTTATGGTGGTACACTGGGTCCTTTCAGGTATAGAGAAGCCTTAGATCTATTGCCAGTTTAACTTAATGTATTGTTTCTAACACTGCACTAAAATTTCACAAAGACAGCTGACTAGGAATGTGCCTTAAGACACCATACCTTTTTTTTTTTGGTACTGGAGATTGAACTCAGGGCCTTGTGATGTGCTCTGCCACTGAGCTGTATCACTAGCTTCATACTTTTTTTAGTGAGCCATAAATAAGGTACTTATTCCTGAACTGATTTGAGTCTTTTTGAACCTTTCTGTAATTTTTGCTTGTTAAATATTTAAGGTCTAAAAGGTACTTTCCTGTATGTTGACTTCACTCCTGCTCTTTGGGGCAGACAGTATTAACTCTATTTTTACTGATGAGAAGATTGAGGGTTAGGGAGGTTAGGCAACTTGCTCACAGTTACACAACTAAAAGTAACAAAATCAGGATTAATTCCCAAGTCTATGTAATTCCAAGACTTTTTTTTTTTTTACTTTACCTTGTTAACCCTAACCCTAACCCCAAGTAATCTTTCCTGAGTGGCACAAAATGAATGGAGTTAAAAGCTAATGAGTTCATCATGAATTGTTATAATCAGAAGTGTGTGTTTTAAGGTGAATCTGAAACCACCACATTAGTGCACAAGAGATTCTTAGAACTCTACCTTACTTCACTGTCTTTGATTTTCAAATGGTGATATTGTCAAAAAGTAGTTGTGTAGTTTCCAAATTTTTATAAAATTCCTTAGCGATTTGAATCCTTTCATTTTGTATGGTGACTTTAAAATTTTTAACTTTTTTTTTAAAGAACTGCTGCAACCATTGACAGCTTAGCAAGTCGCATTGAAGATCCTCAGATACAAGCTCATTGGTCAAATATCAATGATGTTTATGAATCTAGTGTTAAAGTTTTAATCACATCACAAGGTTATGAACAAATATGCAAGTAAGTACAAAAGTAAAAGCTACACATTCAATATGTTAAGTTGCTTGTTAAATACTTGTGTTTCCTAAGTGATTACATTAAGCTTTTGGTTTTTATTTACTAGGATGCCATAACATTCCAGTAAATTTTATTAACTGTGAAGTGTTTGTAAGAATGAGAGGTAAGAATGTCTAAAATAGTCTCTTATTAGGTAAATATCACAGATTTGAACTACATAGAAAAATGAATCCCATCATTCAACAAAACGTTGCTTCACTTCCTTAGATTCCAGTCTTCTTCAGTTCTTACCTCCAGCGTGTGGGGAGTCGATTGTATTTGAAGTGAGAAGTGCCATTTATATTAGAGTCTATCCTGTCCGTGTTGTGCCTAAAGCAGCCTAAGTATTGTGGCTCTCTCTTAACCTGATGCTGACCCTAGATCTAATCCAATTCATGATTGTGTCCTTTTAACCAAGTTGATAGCTGCATGCATGTTTATGAAGTGGCAAAATGATTTTTATCCCAGCATTCTTAGAGGCCCAGTCTACTTGATTTACATTCATACATGATAAGTTAATAAAGTTAGCTAGAAACCATGAGATGGTATTTTGGTCCTCTGTTTGAGTCTCTTTGAAATTTAACAGCTAATGAGATACAGATGAGTCCCTTCCCCAAGTTAGTCTGCGAGAGCCACCAACAAAGATTTGTCAGTGTCTGTGAGTACTTTCTATTCAAGTTGTAACTGCTTTATTTCAGACAGACCTAACTAGCCACTGTGGGCTAGACCCAAGACCAAAGTAACTGGAATTCTGGTTACAGAACCCAATGTGAATTCTCTGAAGAAAGTTTAGTAATAATTTAGCCCTGACAGAATCATGAGTTGAGGAGTAATAGAATATACTTTTCATCTTTTATAGCTCATGTGAATTCATTCTACTTAGGGTTGAAAGTGGTTCTCAGAACTCCCCAAGAATAATCATGTTAAACAGGTTTATGCACGTCTGTCTATGAAAGTCTATGTTTATAAGCATATACATCCCACCCACATCCTATTTACTTTGCACAGCTTGTGTGTTGTTTAAAAACTTGAGATATAATTCATATAATAAAATTTTAATTCTCTACTATGTAACCATAATCACTAATTTCAAAACATTTCTATCACCCCAAAAGGAAACTATGCATATTAGTGGTCATTCTCACTTTGTGTACTTTTTTTACTCAGTAATGCTATATTGGCAAAATAAACACTCCGTATCACCACATACAGTTCTACCTCATTCTGTGTGTTTATGTGTGTGCGTGAGAGAGACAGAGACAGTGAGAGAGGGAGGCTGGGGATTGAACTGAGGTCCTTATCACAGAGTTACATCCCCAGCCCTTTTTTTATTTTTATTTTGAGATATGGTCTCTAAATTGCTAAGTTTCTCAGGGTATTTTTGAACTTTCAGTCCTCCTGCCTTAGCTGCTCAGTGTTAGGATTACAAATGTGGCCTTCACACCCAACTCATTCTTTTTTAACCCCTTCTATGTTCCATTATATGTGTTGAAACTTTTAATCTTCTACTGAGAATTTTCGCTGGGTACCAGCAAAGTAATTTGTACATGTGCAAGTATATCTATTTATAGGAAAAAGTCCTTATGAATATAATTGCTGGGTCAAAAGATTAGGACATTTCACTTTTTTACTAGTGTTACAAAATTGTTCTAAGTGGTTGCCACAAGTATGCTCCCACCAATAGTGAGTAATAAGAATTCCTGTTCCTTCACCCTGTTGTTTAAAAAAAATCATAAGCCAAGCATGATAGCACAGGCTTTATTCCCCACACCTGGGAGGCTGAGGCAGGAAGAGCAAGAGCTTGTGGCCAGCCTGGACCACATAACAAGACCCTGTCTCAAACAAAGCAAAACAAAAAAGCTTTTTAAAAATTTGGTTAGAGTTATGTCTTTTCCTCTAAGTCTCCTGAGTTTTGTGATAACTTTGAAAAAAAGCAATATAAGTTATAATTCATCAAAATGGCAACCTTTTGTACACTATTGTCAAAATGCTTTATTCCCAAATATTTACTACAAAACAATTAAAAGTGAGGTATTATGGAATTATGGAAAGACACAGTATGACTTTTTTCTGCATTTTTTCATCAAGATTATTTGGTTTGGAGAATAAAGTTTCTTGTACATGTTATATGGTAAGACTTTTTAAGTTGTTTCAGAAGAGTGCAATAGAATGAATGTTATTTATTGACTATTTTATGAGTTTTTTGCCCTAAGACAAGTTACTAGAGTATACATAACTCTGACTTGCTGACAATTTCAGAGGAAGAGGGTAAAGAGTTAACTTCTTTCTATATGAGAATTTGACCTTCAGTTAACTAGCTCTAGTTCCTGGAAAACCTAATAAGGAAAGATTTTATTTATATTATTATGCAACATTGCTTATGGTAAAAATAATCTCAAACTGGAAAAATGCATCTAGGTTTTTACATACTGATTGGATGCCTTTGGGCTCCACTAAATGGAGTGACTTTTAAAACTGGGCATGTCTCTTAAGGAGCACCTGGAAACCATGCCTGTGGAGCTGTAGGAGCTCCATGATCCTGGAGAATGAGATCTCCTCCTGTGAGGTCTGCCATGGAAGAAAAGCATCTGGTGTTGGTCTGCTAAGTGTGACCTGGTGCTCAGTATATTGGGATAGTCCACGGTGAGGCTGTTTAGTTGAACCTAGCTAGACCTTTCCCCTCCCCGGTGAATGTTAGTGTAGGTTATTAAAACTGTTTTCTTTTTCCTGATGTTAAGGTTTAATGTTTGTGGCATTGTGCAAGATAATTTTGAATTTCTGATTTTTGGAATATATTTATAAAGGTCCATTCAGCTTCAGTTGAATATAGGAGTTGAACAAATCCGAGTTGTACACAGAGATGGAAGAGTAATTACACTGTCTCATCAGGAGCAGGAGCTACAGGATTTTCTTCTGTCTCAGGTATTGGTTGTAGACCACAGGTTTCTTTTCAGACTACAAGTCTTAAGCCCTTTTCTTTCATAACTCTTTAAAGAACAAATTGAGTAAGAAAAATGTAGTAAATGAATTAAGAAGAAAAATTTTTTCTGCATTACATTTAATTACTAATACATATTTTGCAACCTATCAGAAAATTGAAAGTATTGGTAAACTATTCTATATTTATTTCCATTTACTTTGTGTTTAAAATGAAGGACCATTTCTGAGACAGGCAAATTTTTTGTTTCTTATGGTTGTTAAGGTTTACAGCCTCTCCAGTTCTAGGCAGTGAAAATCCCAACAGGACCAGTGAAAATCTCCAGGACCAGGAGTGGAGAGCCATTAACCCAAGAAAAAGAGATCACATATATTATCCATAATTATAATGGAATATTTTAATTTTTAGCCCTAGGAAAGAGTTCCTTATATTACAGGACAGTATAGAAAGTACTGGGCTCTAGTCCCTGCTGTACCACAAACTTAACTGTGTGACACTGGACAGATTTCTGATGCTTTCTGTCCACATCTGTAAAGTAGTGCTTTTCCTATCCTCTTCATGAAGTTGTAATCTAGTGAAATGCTGACTTTTGGTGGAAAGAGTAGGTTTTTGAGATGCTAATATAAGGTAATATTTTTCTGCATAAAGTTAAGAATACACACACAAACACAACAGTGCATCCCAGAAGGAATGATATTCTATATTGATTTGCTTTTGCTTCCTTGGTGCTAAATACTTGTAAAATGAATTTGTGAAGGATGGCAGCTTTTAGCCGATTGCATTCTAAGTGTCTTTGGTCAGCTTAAGCATACACAAAAAATGCACTGAAATGTTATTGGTAGCTCCCAGAATCAATGGGAGGTCTAGACATAAAGTTGCAAATAGAAAAAGATCAAAGGAAGCTGGGTAAATAGCAGTGTTGCTATCCTGGCACTACTACCTTCACTGCTAGTGCAAAATGAGTTCAGCTAGGGTCCAAATAAGATCTAGGTGTTATGTTCAAGAGGGTGTATTTATGAAGGATCTGTCTACCAAGTTGTGCATATAAGAGAGCCACCAGGGATAGTACGGTAGCCTGCTGTTGAAGTAATCAGGTAACCAGGCTCCAAGGTTTTAGTAGTCACCAGTCCTAGGTCAAGGTTGAGGAGAGGAACGAATCATAGGAACACTAATCAAAAGAGCCATGTACAGTAGACCACCTTGAGAAGACCAGCAGCCTTTTATCAAGAGATATAGCCAGTCTAGATAACCTTCAGGAAAAGTACTAAGGGAATAAATACCCTGACCTTACATTCTTCCTTGCCAGCTTCCTGGCTCCCATTCTGTAGTTCTCTGTAGTTACATGGGTGGCTATTACCTGAACCAACCCTAAGCCTGAGGACATAAGAAGCTGTTAAGCCAACAGTTCAGCCTCAGGGCAGAGAACATGGTAGAGACTGAATTTGAAGGGGCAAATGGAAGCTATTCAGCACATAGGCTACTTTTAGTGTTGCTCCACATTCAGCGATCCAGGTGGGAGGCTGCAGCTGGCCATTTAGGTCACGTTCCTGTCCTCAAGCTGCCAGTGGACTTGGAAAGCAAGTATCAGGCAGTTTTAGCTTCTGCAGTGGAAGATGGGGTCCTGTTCCCTCTCCATATGTAGCCACATTGAGGATTTCTAAAGCATAAACTAGGGATGGTGTTCTAGGCAGTGAACTTCCCAACAAAAGTTTGCCATCACGATGTGAAATCACTGCAAAGTAAATGTCTGTGCTGTCAGTCAAGTTTCCTTTTTCATTCACAGATGTCCCAGCACCAGGTGCATGCAGTTCAGCAGCTAGCCAAGGTTATGGGCTGGCAGGTCCTCAGCTTCAGCAATCATGTGGGACTTGGGCCTATAGAGAGCATCGGCAACGCCTCTGCCATAACTGTGGCCTCCCCAAGTGGTGACTATGCTATTTCAGGTACTGTCTGCTGCTTTGAAGGAGAAGGGACCATTGGGAGTTTGACTTATTTTTTTTTAATTTTTTTATTTTTTTTAAAGTAGGAATGTTTTACATTTATTAAGTGTAGGAAGAGAAACCTGCTCTCCAGAGCAAGTTTGGGACAAGTAAAGGTAGGAAAAGAAGTACACTCTGCAGCATAAGAACAGACTACTATGGCAGTTTGATTTAACATGCAGCTTCAATAATAAAATGTACATAAAAGTAAATTATTTATCTGCAGTGAGTTAATGTATTTACACTGATGTTTATCTGATTGTACTTACTGTTTAGAATAAGAAATTACTAGTTTTCTAATAGTTATAAAATGTTTAGCTAGTAGGTCCTTTGAAAAGTGACATTAGCTTCGTTACTCCTTTAATGATTAAGCTTTTTAAAAAAAATATACTTCTATAAAGCAGGTGTGGAGGCACACACCTATAATCCCAGCACTCCAGGAGGCAGAGGCAGGAAGATCCCAAATTTGAGCCTAGCCTGGGCAAGTTAGTGACGTAGTGAGACTCTCAAAATTTTAAAATAAATGAATAAATAAAAATAAAGTGCTGAGATGTACTGTGCTCTCTTTGTCTCCCTCTCTCTCTCCTTTTGTGTGTATGTCTGTGTGTGTGTATATATACTGCTTTAAACGTGGAAAGAATAATATGTGATAGAATAGAAAGGAGAGAGGTATTTTCTAAGCACCTACCATGAGTAGATGCTTTAATAGGCTATTGCAAAAGCTAGCATATAATAGGGTAGCTTAAATTTATGTTTGTAGGGTTTATAGTTTTATTATTTTCTCTATTCTCTTCTCTGAATACTTTCATGTTGAAAAATTAGAGACAGTTAGCAGTATTTCCTCACAGGATCCCAGCTTAGGGTTCTGCAAGCCTGGCCCTTGCCAGGTCTTTATTGCTAAGAATTTCTTTTTTTCTTTTGGTGGTAGGAATTAAACTAGAGTTTTGCACATGCCTGAGTATGCATTCTCCTATACCCACAGCCAGTATTGCTAGAAATTTCAGAGTACCTTTTTGTCATTCCAGAGTAGTAGTTAAAATCTTATTACTACAACCTGAAGTTCTTAATTCAGAATAATCCTTCCTTTAACCATTCAAGTGCTGATTCTGAATGGTTGAGTTTTGCTATATATTCACCTACATGTTGAATGATTGAATTATCAAATGAATATATTAAAAAGAGGTAGATTGGCACTCTGGGAGACTGAGGCAGGAAGATCACAAGTTGGAGCCCTCCTGCCTGCCTCAGCTTCCCAGAGAGCTGAGATTATAGATGTACACCACCATGCCCAGCTTGAAAAGTGCTTTTTAAGTGATTGTTTAAGTTGGTAAACAGATAAGGTTTTTCACAGCAGAATGAAGTTTTGGGTTAGATCCTAGTTATTTTCTAGTTTGCAAAATCTGGGTGTGTTGATATTTTGGTCTTTCTCCATAGTTCGTAATGGACCTGAAAGTGGCAGCAAGATCATGGTTCAGTTTCCGCGAAACCAGTGTAAAGACCTTCCAAAAAATGATGTTTTACAAGATAGCAAATGGAATCATCTTCGTGGACCATTCAAGGAAGTCCAGTGGAATAAGATGGAAGGTCGAAACTTTGTTTATAAAATGGAGCTGCTTATGTCTGCACTTAGCCCTTGTCTGCTATGATTTTTTTCCAGAAAAATTTCCAGATTTTTTTTTTCCAGAGACATTTCCAGAAGCTTTGACTTGAGATGCTTGCCGATTAACTATAAGCACAAAGAGGGATAATCTTCCAAAGGAATATTGTTTTTAAAAAAAATAATTAGGCCTGGCATGGTGGTGCACACTGCATCCCAGCACTTGGGAGATAGAGGCAGAAGTATCTTGAGTTCAGGATTAGCTTAGGCAACATTGTGAGTGAAATCAAGCCTAGCCTGGACTATCAGGTGAGACTTTGTCTCAAAAAAGCACACAAACAAAACCAAAAATACCTAACAGCCGTAATTAATAAATTTTTACCTAGCAATTTGAAACTTCACTTTATAAGTGACATGTACTTTGAAATGCAGAAGTTATGTACAGTTGTGGGTATACTGTGTGGGGAGATGTGAAGTCATGCTTTTTTATACAGTTAACCTGAAAATGTTACTAACTTAAGGGTATGAATGTACTTTTTAAAATATCTCTTCTTTGATACTGACATCAAATAAAATGTATCCTTAAAAATCTTCCAAATACAGTACTTTCTGAACTCTTGAATAAATTAATTGTCTTTAATAGATTACACATCCTACCATTTCTTAAAAGAACACATAAGAACATTGAACCACTTATGAGCAGCTTTCATACAGAAATTCACTTACACAGACAAGCCAGGCCCTCTCCCTGCAGTGTAAGGAGAGCACGCCAGCAGAAGGAGCAGGTCCTCCCTTGAACACGGCTCTCCAGTGTGCTCATTCTTAGTGAGTGAAGTACTTTTCCTTGGGTGTCTTGTTGCCTGCCTTGGTTCTAACCTAAAGAGGTAAGAGCTCCTCAGAAGGGACAGTTGAAGGCACAGAAGAAAGCAGATACCAGGCCTCCTCCTGGTTTTTGGTCTGTTCTCCCACCTACGTGGGCAGTGCATGCTGTTCCCAGCCTCCCCACCCTGGCCCTGGATTACCTCCTGCAGTTGAAGTCTTATCCATTATCCCTCTGTTTTCTCAAAGGGGAAAAAAGAAATGGATTAATGGTTGCCTTTTCTAAGTAACATATTTGCACTTCTTGGAAATAATATCCCAATCCTAAAGTATGCCTGAAAAATTCCCATTTAATAAGATGTAGGCTTATGGGCCTTTTGGTATCACTGAAAATATCATATGGTAAGGTCTTATAAGTGAAGCTTTCGATTTTTAAAGCATTTAGCTTTAATGATTTGTAACTCCATACTAATAAAATCCTTTGTATGTCTCTTGTTTTGGGTTTAAAAGAAAAAATGGAGCTTGCTTTAAAGAAAAATCTTTGTGCTTTTGTTTGCATCTTGGGCTGTGGGTAATTCATTGGTAGAGCTCTTGCCTAGCATGTGTAAGGCCCTGGATTCCATCTGCAGCACTGAAAAAAAGAAAAAAACACATACACACCCATATACAAACACTGCATTTTTCTATCATGGAAATTAAAAAGAATTGGTGTAATCTTCATTAGTTATTTAAAATCTAGTGCTTCAAAAATTGTGGTGGCCCACAAAATTTGCCTTGGCTAATAGGCTAATCTGTATAGTTCTACTCACAAGTTTTTCACATGATTCTGAAGTCTCGTACTAGTATGCTAAATAACACATTTTCACAGAAGGACTACTTTTTGGTGTTTTTGGTTTGGGATTTTTTTTTTTTTGCAGTATGGGAGATTGAACCTAGCTAGGGTCTTTGCACTAAGTAACATCCCACCTCCTGGCCCCCTTTTTAAAAAGGCAAACCAAGCAGTTTCATTCATTAGTATTCATAAATACACAGCTGCTTCATTAGAGATTCCAACGTTTCTCTTCTGTCTCAATGTAGAATATTAGAAGGGCTTTTTGTATGTCACAGTATTGGAAGCAGATATTACCCCTGCATGGCTACCTACATTTTCCTGGTAGAAGAAAAAATTAGGTGAAAATGATTATCATATTTTCTCTCTTCCTTTTGATTGTATACAATGTAGTGAGTGACATCTGAAATTACAATTACCAAAGAAACCCAAGATAGTTGTTACTGGCAAATACAGCACAGTGAATGCTGCAAATTGGGATGTCATCAAAGAGGAGGTAGTAGAGGTTCATTTCCTTTAAATTTAGGTTTTCTAAAGTAACATCTAAAGGCATATCTACACAGCCATAGCACCAAAATCTGCGCACACACACACACAACACCCCATTCATTATTTAAGGGCAAGCTCTCTTCATGCACTGAAGTGGACAAAGGAGCTTTTAGACAAACAGGCAACCTTCTATGAATGTGCTTTCCAGAGACTGGCACTTTTTCAGACATTTTAGGATCACTCAATTTAGCTAAAAGAACCCTAGCCTTTTAAAAATGTTTTATTTTGAGACAGTCATCAAATTGCCGAGGCTGGGCTCAAACCTGTGATCTTCCTGCTTCAGCCTCCCCAAATACTGGGATCACAGATGTGTGCCATGTTTTTATTTTTCTCTTTTTAATTGCTTTGGCAAGCCAATAAAAATTAATTACTAGAAACATGAAATTTTAACTGGATGTGGTCATACATGCCTGTAATCTGAGCTATTCAGGAGACTAAGGCAGGAGGATGAGGCTAGCCTGGCAAACAGTGAGACCCTGTCTCAAAAGCAAAAGGATGTAGTTCAGCAGCATGCATGAGGCCCTGAGTTCAATTCCTAGTACTGCAGAAGGGGGTGTGGAAACAGCTCAGTACAAGGCCTTGTTCAACCCTTGGAACCCCCTTCCAATTTTTTTTTAAGATATAAAAAAACTTTTATTTGATTTTCATATGCATAGTACTGCTATCAAATATAAAAATTTCTGAATGCTTTGTTTCTATGCTTATCCTTTCATAAATAAGTAAAAGCTTATGGATCAGCACAATAATTAGAATGGGTAAGGGCCATGCACAGATTTTATCTCCTGGTTTTTTTTTTTTGGTACCGGTGATCGAACTCGTGACCTTGTGCTTTTGAGGCAAGCGGCGGAACCACTGAGCTAAATCGCCGGCCCTCTCCTGTTATTTTAAACGCCATCTGAGCAGAGCAGATAACTGAAGACTGTCAAGAGCATAAGTTCTCCTTTCTCTGTTCAGTTATGTCACTGGCTAGGGAATAGCCATTACCCATCTAAAAAATCCTAGGAACTGAAGCAAATGCGAGAGAAACAACAGCTTAGTTTTTATACTAAGTCTTGCGCCTTGGGTTTATTTACTTTTGCCAGTTTGATGTTTCAGTCTGAATTACCTGGATCTGGAGGGATATGCTGTGTAACTAAGGAGACAGGAGAAAACCAATTACTTCGTTGACAAGTATTTAACAGGTTGGCAAAAGAGCTACATCTGGATGTTGGCTCTGTTACTGGCTAACTGTGTGAGCCTGGCAAGCTTACCTTCTGAAACTGTTCCCTTGCATAGAATGGGAGACAAGGACACCTTCTGAGCTAATCTCAAAGCTTTGGATAAGGTTGGTAATGGTGGTTTCTAACATGGTATGCAAATAAAAAACATTAAGCAACTGTGATTCTAAGAGTCAAGCAATTAGAAGATGGAAAAACAGTTAAGATGTCAACTTTATGACCAGGAGAAAGCATTTCAGAATGTCCAGTTTTCCCATTTATAAATGTTTTGTATATGAAAGCTATGAGTGTTTTGTGAATATAAAGACTGGGGTTTATTCCAGTTATTTTTTTAAAGCCGTGCTCTATGGCCTACTTCTCCCATTTATTTCTCCCTGCCTTTGTCTTTAATTTGTTCAGTTCTATTTCCCTAATCCTGTTCTGCATTGATGCCTGACATATGTGGTGATCACAAGTATTTGCTCTGTTTTCAATAAACGAGAGAAGTATCTTTTGCTTCCCTGAAAATTGGGTGCAAGAAACCTATGCCAACTATGTAAACTCTGAGGTTGGCAAGGGTAAGTGTTTCCACTTCCCCCAGTATCCCCCCACCCCCACCCCACTGTCAAAGATAGTGCCTTCGAGTTGCATCCCTGGGAGTCTGTCCTGTTATAGTAGGGCCCTCGCTCACACCTGGGCTCTCTCTTCTGCCTCTTTTCCTCTACCTATTGTTACATTTAATCAGCTCTTCTGAATGGTGCCCTCCCTTAGGCCTTGTCTCCGCATTTCTGCATTGGGCAGGACTGATCTCTCACCGCTTTGCTCCTCAACTTTGTGTGCTATTGCTTCAAATCAGAGTAAGCCTGAAGTGCTTGAAGGTATCCACCATCTTTTGTGGTGTGGGACTGCATAACTCTGTAATCATAAAACCTAGCCCCAACTGTGATTGAGAGTTAATGGATAAAGATGCTTGTTAGTTTTGGGACACTAGATAAAATCTGTAGCAGACCTAAAGTCCCAAACTAAACTACTCAACTCCTTGTCTGCCCAGAACTGATGTTCCGGACACCACAATCTATAGAACAAGCTGCAAATGTCTGCTGACCATCAATACGTGACAGTCGACCACTAACCTTTGTCCCTTTTCTTTAATTCTATATGTTAACTTCCCCCTCAACCCCCTATAAGAACAGCCTCGGACTCTGAGCCAGTTGCTTCTCTAAGCTACTTTGCTTTGGGAGTGCCGTCTGGCCAGACTAATAAAGGTCTGTTTTACTTTCCAACTTGTCCGGTGTGTTCCTTCCTGGGTGTTCTTCGCTGCAGTCAGCTCCTCAGAGCATTTGGTAAGGCCTTCGGTCTTACAGTGAGCTTCATAGGACTTGGGTTCTCTGCTCCCACTCTGCTTGCACACCCAGAATACCATGAAATGAGAAAGAACAACATATACCTTCTTGGATTCTTAGATGATACTCTCTGAGAGGACAGTGTTGATAAAGTATGTGTGTTATGCAGGGCAACTTATACACCACTGAACTTGGTGGTACAACTGTTACATCCTAGTCTTCACCCTGTTCCAGAAGGACAAAAGTCTCTATGGAGATCAACTAATATTCCAGAAGCACAAGTTTCAAACTGATTTTCTGGCTACAATGCAGGGAATATGGTGGTATTAATAAAGTACTGTTTTTCTGAATTGCTAAAAAGCATTTAGAACTAATGTGATTAGTTCCACTGTCATTTAAAATATGTGCCAGACCCTGGCTTTGTTGAGGGTTTTATGATCCTTTGCACTGAGTGGAACCATCATCCAAAGAATTCTTGGCAGGATTGGGTACACATAGAGACCAGGGCTTTATATTCATGTTTTATTTCATTCATTTTTTTAAAACAATTTTTTTCACAGCTTGAAACACAACAATTTTACACTGGCCAATCTATTGAGAGATTTAATATTCTCTCTCTTTTTTTTAAATAGAAGACAAAAACCTCAGCCTCTGGAATTTAAAAGTTAAAGAGTTTTTTAAATGCATAAATAAATCCTCTTTTCAAAAAAATAGAAACTTTGAGATTCTTTGGGAGCAATCTAATTTGCATCTGAGTTTGCCCATGGAGGCCTTCTCTGTATGTCCTTTTCCATTTTTTTTACGATGAAGCTTACTAGTCCTGACTGCTAACAAGCTGAAAAGTAGAGTTCTGGTGAGGAGGCATACACTCCAGCAGCTACCCAGCTCCAAACACATCTCATGCTGCTGGGCTTTCTGTGAGAAAGAGGAGAAAAACATAACCAAATCATCCTTGATCCCCTTTTTCTCAAGCACTCCTCACCCCGATTCTTCACAGAACACGTGGAAACTGTCTTGGCACAGGGCTGGCTTCTCTGGCTGCTGCCTGTGGAGGGAGTACAGGCATGCAAGTTTGCATGCGTGCACACAGGACATGGCCTGAGAGTATCTCCTATGTGTCAGGTGCCAGAGGTACATGTCACTTGTGTAAACTTTGCTCTTTTGACTTTTGATTCAAGTATGCCTTTGGAGCCCTTCTCCAGATACTGCTAGTTCCTGCCTGAATACTCCAAGTGATCCCTTCCTGTAGCTCTGGCTTTGTTATTTAGGGAAAGGCCTCTAACAAACTTCTCCAGATAACCCTTTACCTTCCACATGGGAAATGGAAAAGATAAGGACATCGGTGACCTGAAAGGAAAGAGAAAGAAATATTCTAGCACTTCTTCACCTTTACACATGTGAATTTTCAGTTGAGGCCTGGGAACACAGGTAGTGACCTCAACCTCCATCATAATCAGGGTAGTAACTTTAATTGTAGCTATGAATATTGGAGAGAAAAAAAGAGAACAAAAAACAAATTCATGCCTGCTTTTAGAGCTTGCCAAATGGAAGTTGGGATGGAAAACTTTTGGGTAAACATTGTGACCAAGAAATGGCAGCTAAAACCTAATCTCTACACTTAGCTGGAACCACAATAACTCAGGTCATTTTAATTTCCAATATTTGGTACAGTATTTTCCAGTACAGCTTTCTAGATCCTTGAAGAGTTCTCATGCTTTTCTTAAATTGCTCACAGTGCTCTAGGCATACTGTGTGCTTCTCTTGATACACTTACTGTGAGGTAGGTGATGGCCAAGTGTTCCTTAACCCAAGTAGGAGAGAGCAAGGGCTTGACTGGAGTCATGAAGTGTTGGTGACAGAGAGAGACAGATCTGAAGCCCAAGATTACTGATGTTCCAGTTGTACCACCCACTCTGCAGGCTCAGGTTCCACACAGGCATCACTCTGCCGGGAGGTCAGAGGCTGCCCATAGTGGAGATGAGCCTTGTTTTCTTCACATTGGCCTAAGGTTGGGCCATGAGAGGGAAAATGCAATGAATTTCACAACAAGAGAGGAAGAGAAAGCATATTGTCCTTATTCTCTGCATTCAAAGCTGGCCCCCGAGTATACTGAGCTCCTCTTCCTAAAGCTCCAAGGTACTAGGCCTCACCTCTGAGCAAATCACTACAGCACAATAGCATCCTCTCACCACCAAAGCTCTTTCTACCTCTGCTTCTGAGGCAGCAGATTGTCTAAATGCCTCAGGTTTTCTCAGGAGCTCCCATAGCAGTGGTGGTAGGATTTGAGAAAGGGGTTTGGAGGGTACAGTAGTGTGCAGAGCAGACAGGAGCACAAAAGCACAGAGAGTGTTCCAGGGCTGGCTGCACATCAAGAGTCCCTGACAAAGGGACTTCTCCAATAGGCCATGCCTGGGGTCAAAGCCAGTGTCATGAGCAACAGCTAGTGCTTGCTCTATGCCATTGGTTACGGGTTAGCATATCCTGAAGCTGTAGCCAAGCAGGGCTCCTGGTTGAAAGCCTCAGTCTCTCTTCTTCTTGAACCAGTGCAATCCCTAGAATTGATTTTGTCCAATCCATGGTCTCCAACTTCATGCAGTCAACTTTGTTGCCTTCAGGCTATCCCATCAGGAATGGGTTGAATGGCAGGACTACAGGAAGCTGTAGAGTAAATTGGCTGTGTTTTTCCTTTGGCTGGAAAATGTTTTCCTCTTGAGGTAGGAATGTAATTGGGCCCAGCCTTAGCTAACACTCAACATTTTGCAGCTCAATCTCCTCAGTTGTGCTTTCTGCAAAGCAAAAGTCAAGTCAACAAGTTGAAAATCAGCCATAAGGTATTATTGGTATAAGTAACATGTGTCACTTGTGACCTCAAACCATGAACAGATGATCACAAGACCCAGAAGGTTACCTTTAAGTTTGTGTCTCCTCTTCCTCTGGAATTTATATGCACACCTATTACAAACCCATATGAGGCTGATTAACACTGCGGCCACAGCAGCAAGTAAAGCAATAAAGACAGCAACAAAGTGGAGGTCTTCATAGCGGATCTCTAGAGGTGAGGAAGGAGAGAGGAAAGTAAAGTCTCTTTTAATATAGGGCCAGGGATTTAGCTCAGTAGTGCCGCCTCCTGCCTCGAAAGGGCAAGGTCCTGAGTTCGATCCCCAGTATCAAAAAGAAAAAAAAAACTCAAAAGAAAAAGAAATTAATATCACGACTAGGCCACTCATACTTACAGTTCAGAGGGCCCTGGGTCCCTGGGGCTGTCTTACCAGACACATGCAGCACGATGGAGCCAAACTGGCTGCTCCCCAGGTGCTCTGTCACGGTGATGACATAGTAACCAGAATCCCTCACGCCAACACTGAAGAGCTGGATGGAGCCATTGTCAAAGGTGCAGACTCTGTCCTTGTGGCTTTCAGAGATGTTAACCTGAGTCCCTGGTTTCCATTCCACGATCTTCTGCTCGCCCCAGTTGGATGTGTACTTCCATTCGATGGTGGGCACCCCGTGGCAGTAGTAGTCAACTGACAGCAGGATGTCTTCTTGTACAGTGGCATTGATGGCGGAGTGAGGAATGTACAGTGACACACCCTGACCTGCAAGATGGGGTGGTAAATGTTGGGCACGCTTTATGAACTTAAGTCAACTTATTTAATTCATTAGCTTATTTCACAAGCATTTACTGAGTGCCTATTATATGGCAGTGGCTTGAGGTTCTGGTGATGACACTGATTATAAGGTGGACAAGATACAAGTTTCCCTGTGTCTAGCTTGCATTTAGGGGAGACATACAAGGGCTCAATAAGCAAATGACATAAAATATTAGATAATAACAGTGCTTTGAAGGTGATGAATAAGGGTAATAGTGGCCAAAGAAGATGATACCCAACATTAGACGGTCAGAGAAGACCTCACTAAGGAAATGACATTTGAACAAAGACCTAAAAGTCAAGGAAGGGGAGGAAGAAGCAGCCTTGCAAAGAAAAGGGAAGAACAGTATTTCAAATAGAGGAAACGACAGATAAAAAGCTGCTCTGTGACACTGAGCATGGCTATGCTTGAAGGTCAGGAAGGCAGCCAGAGTGCTGAAACACTGGGGAAGGTTTAGGAACTGAGGTTAGGGAGCTGGACAGGAGCAGAGTCATGACATCAGAAACTCAAGGGCAGTGGGAAGCTGCAGGGTGGCTTAGGAAGCAGGGTGATGTTCCCTATTCAGTTGGGAAAGTCTGCCATGGAGAAGATACTGGGGGCTGGGCGTTGGGCACAAGTGTGGAGCAATCAGGTGGCTGCTACAGGAGATAAGAAAACCTTGGAGATGAGTAACGAGACGAGTATCTTGACACTTCTCCTAAGACCAACACAACTACATTATCTATCCCTGAAATTTAACTTTGGTGTACTATTTTCTAATACATAGTATATCTTCAAATTTCTTCAACTGTCCACAAAATGACCTTTCCTGTTTTAATGCAAAATTAAACAACAATTGCTGATGGCATTTGATTGTCATGTCTTATAGTTCTCCTTTTGCAAAATTTCTCTACCTCTTATTGGGGGGGCTGTGAGCTTTCATGACGATATTTTAGAATCCTATTCTAAGTTTATTTAGAATAGTGGCAAAAATATTGCAAAAGTGGTGCTTCCATGTTTCACCACTTCAGGAGGCAAATGTGGTGAGCTTGTCCTGTGGTTGGGAAGCTGGGTTAGATCATATGGGTGATGTCTGACATGTCTTTCCTTTTCCCTTTTATTGATAAATCATCTATGAAGTAATATTTAGAGACCATGTAACTAACCAGCAACAGTGGATACATAGTTTTTAGTATTTGCTAATGAGCCTCACTCATATTAGTTATTTCACAGATGGCTACAAAATGGTCATTTTTCAAATCTGTCATTCTTCTAAATTTATTAGCTGGCTTTCTGTAAAGAAGAACTATTTTTCTATGTACCTGTCCACCCCTTTTTTCCTTAGTATCTTTAAAACTCATGGATTTTTTTCTTATGACATCACATTCTATTATCATTTCTTTCTGAATTGTTCTACATTTTGCCAGCGGGATCCTCTTCAATACATTTATGTGTTCTTTGAAATGTCCTATTTGGTCTATGGCCATGCCACCTGAATGCACCCGATCTCATCTGAAATGTCCTATTGGAGTTTTAAGCATTTTCTTGAACTGATTACACTCAAACAAGGACCTTCTTGTCTTAAAGCCAAAGAATAAGAAACTGGGAAATTCTGGCATTGGGGCAGAATTACTTTTCTTTCATTGCTGAGACAAAATACCTGACACTCAAAGTTAAAGGGGGAAAGGTTTATTTGGCTTACAGTTCATAGAGGTTTTAGTCCATAATTGGCTGGCTCCAAGTCCGAGTGGCACAGCAGCAACAGTTCATGGATGGCAGTCTGTAGCCAAGCAACAAGAACAGTGGGAGGGGCATCACAGAGGAGAAAGCTCACAGAGCCCATGTGGTAACTAAGGGAACAAGGGACCTTAACAGTGTCTTTCTGCCCCCTTTATCTTATTCAGACTATTTAAGATGGGTAGCACTCACACTCTTAATCCCAGTGCCCTCGGGCCTAGCCCCACCATGAATCCATCACACATGCTAGATTCAGCCACCTCCAAAATAGCACCACTTCATTCTCATAAGGCCTTGGAGAGACATCTAAACACAAGCCATAACAAGTAGATGGGTGAGATCATTTTGAACAGGTATTGTTTTTGCATCCCATACTCACATCACTTGGTGTGGCCAGTAGCCCCACTTGTTAGCCATCTTGGGGGTAGAAGCCCAGGACAGAGTCATGCTGTTGAACTATGCACACATAGGAGCTCAATGAAAGACCCTCAGCCTTCTCTCCCAGTGTGGAATTCAAAGAGCTCAGCTTTCAACCTCTGCCAGAACTCTTCCTTGCAGTGATAGAGCGCTCTCCACCACAAGGCAACCTTTCTCTACTTTGGGAAGCTTTATTTACAAAGCTGCTCCCTTTGTAGTGATGTGGACTACAGAAGTTATATCCCAGTATATGAAGCCCTTCAGATCCTAAAGACCATTCCCTTGACTCCTTGGATCATATCTCATTCAGACCCTCAATATGTGACCTTCTGTTCCTTCTTCTTTTCTTTCTCCCTTTTTTTTTCTCCTCTCCCTCCTCTCTCCTCCCTTCTCTTCCCCCTTTTTCTCCTCTTATCCCTCCTTCTCCTCTTCCTCTTTCTGTGCTGGGCTTTGAACCTCATCACTGAGTTGTATCCCTAGATTTTAAAATATATATATATATATTTTAAAAATATATATGTATATTTAAATATATATATTTTGAGACAGGGTCTCACTAAGTTGTCCAGGCTGGCCTCGAACTTGTGATCCTTCTGCCTCAGCCTCCTGAGTAGCTGGGATTACAGGAGTGTGCCAACATGCCCAGAGGCACACAGTTATCCTTCAATACAGAAAAAAAAATCCAGACTTTAAGGCTCCTTCAATTAAAAAAAAAAAAAAGGACAAATTTCATCTCAGCCCTTGGAGGGCAGAACTCATGTTTTGTTTTGGTTTTTTTCATCCCTGTGTCCCCTGTACCCAGCACAATGCTTGGCACATAATGATTGGTCAATAAATGTTTGTTCAGTAAATGAATAAGTGAATGACCAAATATTTATAGAAATAAGAAGCATCAGCTGACCCTTGATAGGAATGGTGCTGCTTGCATGGTTTAAAAAATTAGGTACACTTAAAAGCTAGCATATAGGGAGGAAAGAGAACTATAGTTTAGTGTTTTAATCATTATATACTTTATAATCACTATCTCTTATTTTTTATGAGTGTCAATAACATGCTCACATAACAGTAAATGGCAAAGGTGAATTTTCAAGGTTGTTCTGCTTGGTTCCCCTGTCTATCTATCTATCTATCTATCTATCTATCTATCTATCTATCTATCTAGCACCTTCTATTTATCTATGTTCCTGATTTTTCTGACCTCAAATACAGTTAGAATAGTGATTACTATAAAATTTAGAGATCTAATGATAAATTTGTATCATAATCTCTGTGCAGTTCATGTACTGGCCATTACTCATGTTGGTCAAGGTTACTGACAGACTCATCTCCAACCCTTTTAAAAGCCTTGGGAGCTGGGCTTGGTGGCTCACCCCCACAATCTCAGCACTGAGGAAGGTTGAGGCAGGAGTATTGTCAATTTGTGCTCCCCTTGGGCAACTTAGTGAAAAAAGTACTCTATTTACTCTGTTTTTGATTTTGATTTTTTTTCTTTTATAGATTCCACATATAAATAAAACTGACCTTTCTCTGTCTGGCTTATTTCACTTAGCACAATATCCTGCAGGTTCATCCGTGTTATCACAAATGGAAGGATTTTGTATTCCTTATGGGTGGATAATACATGTATTCTATGATTTCTTTATGTATTTATCTATCAATGGACATTTAGGTGGTTTCCAGGTCTTGGCCATTGTGAGTAATGCAGTAACGAACATGGGAGTACAGATGTCTCTGTGACACACAGATTTCACATTGTTTGGTTACATGCCCAGAACACCTAGATCATATTGTGTGTAGTTATATTTTTAATATTTTGAAGAACTGACATATTGTTTTCCATAGTGGCTGTACTAATTTGCATTCCCATCATGGATGAAGGATTTGTTTTCTCCACAACAAAACATTTTGTTACCTTTTGTTGTTTTGATAATAGCCATTTTAACAGTTGTGAAGTGATATCTCATTGTGATTCTGATGTGCACTTCTCTGGTATTTAATGATGTTGAGTAGTTCTTCATGTACCTGTTTGATCATTTGTATATCTTCTTTGGAGAAATGACTATTTGGTTCTCCTGTCCATTTTAAATTATGTTATTATTATTTGCTATTGAATTGTAAGAATTCCTCTATATTGTATACTATATAACATATAAGTACATGTATATATAGTATATGTATATGTGTATATGGTATATATAGTATATGTGTGTATATATAGTATATTATATACATATATATATCTCACATACTAGACATTTGACATGTTTGCAAATACTTTCTTGAATTCTGCAGATTGTCTTTTTATTTTGTTGATCATTTCCTTTGTAGTGCAGAAGCTTTTTAGTTTGATGTTGTTTCATGTATTTATTTTTGCTTTGGTTGCTTATATGTACTTTTAATGTCATAATTCCCCCCCCCATTGCCAATACCAGGGTCAGGGAGAGTTCTCCATCTGCTTTCTTCTGGAAGTTTTATGGTTTCAGGCCTTACATTCTAATTTTTGTGAGTGGTATAAGATAAGGGCCCATTTTCATTCTTTCACACATGGTTGCTCAGTTTTCTTTCCCCAATATGATTTGTGAAGACACTATTCTTTCCCTATTGTGTATTCAAGGTGCCACTGTCAAATATTATTTGAACATATATGTGTGTGTTTGTTTCTGGGCTCTGTTACGTTCCATTTGTCCACGTGACTGTTTTGATGCCAATCTCATATTGTTTTGACAAATATAACTTTGTAATATACTTTGAAATTGGAAAATGTGATGTCTTCAGCTTTGTTTTTTCTCCAGAATGAGACTGCTTTGGCTGGTCAGGGTTCCTTGTGGTGCTATGAGAATTTTTGAATTGTTTTTCAACTTGCATGCATGCGTGCATGCATGTGTGTGTCTGTGTGTGGTGCTGAGTATTTCAACCCAGATCCTCAATCATGGTAGGCAAGCACTATATCACTAAGCTACTCCTTCATCCATGTTTTCTCAATTTCTATGAAGAATGTCCCTTTTTTTTTTTGTATAGGGAGCAGGCAAGTGTTCTTTCTACCACAGAGCTACATTCCAAGCCTGCCATTGGAATTTTGAAAGGAATTATATTGAATCTGTAAATTTCTTTGGGTAGTAGGCACTTTAACAATTTTAATTTTTCTGATCTATGACCATGGGATTTTCTTCCATTTATTTATGTCTTCTTTAATTTCTCTTTTCAATGTCTCATAGTTTACAGTTTACAGATCATTTATCTCCTTGGTTAATTCTATTCCTAAGATTTTTATGCTACTGTAAATGGGATTGTTTTCATTATTTTCTCAGCTCATTGTTAGTGTACAGAAAAGTGACCAATTTTTTTATGGTGTTTTTGTGTCTGTTTTTTTCACTTAACATTATGATCTTTAAAAAAACATTATGATCTTAAGGTGCACCCCTTTTCCTACAAATAACTCATTTATCTTTCTTTATGACAGAGTAGTACTCCTTTGTGCATAAATACCACATTTTTTAAAATCCATTCATCTGTTGATGGGCATATAGGCTGCCTTCCAAGATTTAACTGTTATGAATTATGTTGCTATAAACATGAGTATGCATATATCCCTGTAATATGATGTCTTTAACTCTTTTGGGAATGTACCTAGAAGGAGAATAGCTGGTTCAAAATTAATTTCTAGTTTTAGTTTGGGGACTTTTCATACGAATTTCCATAGTGGTTGTACTAGTTTACATTCCCACTACCAATGTTCAAAGGTTTCCTTTTCTCCACAGCCTAACCAGAATTGGTTATTAGTTGATTTCTTGGTAATGGCTATTCTTTCTGGGGTAAGACAGAATCTCAGTATTCTTTTAATTTGCATTTCTCTACCTGCCAGCAATGTTGAACATTTATCTTTGTATTTACTGGCCATTTGTCCTTTTGCCTGTGAAGTGTCTATTCATACACTTGCCCATTTTTGTTTGAGTTTTTTATTTTGGGGGTTCTAATTTTTTTGAGTTCTTTATATATTCTAGCTATTAGTGCTCTGTCTGAGGAATAGCTGGAAAATATGTTATTCCAATTCTTTAGGTTGTTTTTCACTCTGTTGATTATTTCTTTTGCTGTGCAGAAGCTTTTTAATTTGATGTGATCCTATTTGTTGATTCTTGGTACTATTTCCTGTGCAATTAGACTTCTGTTCAGAAAGTCCCAGCCTATGCCTATGTCTTCAAGAGCTTTATCTATTTTATTTTCAAGCAGGTTAAGTGTTTCTGTTTTAACATTTAGTTTTTTAATCCATTTGATTTTAGTTTAGTACATGGTGAAGGATATGGGTCTAGATTGAATCTTCTTCATGTGGATAGCCAGTTTTCCCAGTACCATTTATTAAAGTTTCCTCCAATGTATGTTTTTGGCTTTGCTGTCAAAAATCAAATAGTTGAATTACCCCTCTTCTAGTCCATTGATCTTCATGTCAGTTTTTATGCCAGTTCCATGTGTGTGTGTTTTTTTTTAAATCACTGTAGCTTTGTAATATAACTTCAAGTCTGGGATTATGATGGCTCCCATTTTGCTCTTGTTACCTAGGATTGCTTTTGCTATTCTGGGTCTTTTCTGGTTCCATGTGAATTTTGGGATTGTTTACTTCAGTTCTATGAA